GTGTGTGTGTGTGTGTGTGTGTGTGTGTGTGTTAGGGCTGCAACGATTAATTGACGACTAATCGATTATTAAAAGAATCGTTAGTTGCAGCCCTAGTGTGTGTTTTTTTTACTCAAGATTAACTATTTGTAATATATCAAGCTAACTTACATCTTTAAATTCATCTTTCTGTTTAAGACCAATAGCTTGTGATCAGCACAGATGAATAAATATTATTGTAGTTGTTTTTTATTAATTCCTAGTTGTATTTTTGCTAGGGCTGCAAAACTTTCATAATCAGTTTGTTGTGTTGGGTGATTTATGATGGTGGTAATTTAATTATTAAATTAAGTTTTAATTTGTTGACAATGTGTGAGTGAAGACGCTTGTCTTGAACTAACACTGCAAATAAAACAAGGCATTTATTGAATTATTGCTATTCGCACAGGGTTCCCACGGGTCCTTGAAGTCCTTGAAAGTTTGTGAATTTGAAAAAGTATATTTTATGGCCCTGAAAATTTTGTGAAAACAGCCAAAAATTACACTTGTCCTTGAAAGTCCTTGAATGTTTTTTGGGGGGTTGAAATTCTTTATTCACATGACTGATTTTCATTATCTTTTAGAAAATATATTATAAAATTAAATTAAAAAAAACTTACATTTGTTGCGGTGGATAAATCAGGGTTACAGTAAACTGACGTCATTGTTTCTGACTCAGCAACTTCTATGTTGTTCAGTTTTTCATTGAATTGAAATGATATTAAACCTGTTTATTAATAACATTCTGCGGTAGAAGTAGGTAATTGCCGTTGCGCATGGTTCTTTAATTTGAGGAAATTGGTACTGGAAAGTCCTTGAAAGGTCCTTGAACTTGATGCTGACCCAAGGTGTGGGAACCCTGTTAGCAGCTGTCTTGACTGAAAGTATTCTTAACATGATCATCACCGACATGAGACTGTCCATGGTCAAAGATAACGACTTCATTATAATAGGTCACACTTTTATTCACACACTCTTTTATTCACACACTCTTTTATTCACACACTCTTATTCACACACTCTTCCCTCAAGGACACATTTTACAAAGCTCATGGAGGAAAAATATGAAGAAACTTTCAAGAATATTTGTGTATATTTTTAAGTACATTAATTTTTTAAACTTAAAACTATTTGACAAATATTTATTCATGCTTTACAATTTAAATTGTAACAGAATTCTCAAACAGCAACATGTTTTGTATTATTAGCTATGTCAGTCCAAATTTTTTATTTTGGAATGAAGAGGTCAAAATTCAAGTATTTTTTCATCAATTAATCGATTATTATAATAGTTGTAGTCCTAATTTCTGCACATATAAAGCTACAATAAAGTAAATTAAATAACGATCAACTACATCTAGCAGGAAGAGTTAACTACAGTTATAACATATTATTTACAACATACTTTCTCCACAGAATCCAGTAATGGAAACTTCAACCTCAAGGCAAGCTCTGGGTACAAGTTTGGCTGCCTGGCTAAGATCGTCAACTACATGAAGGTAACTATCTGAAGAAAGTTTTTTTACAATAATAAATCATTAGTGTTCAAGGTTGATTTGCATCCCTTTGAATGTTTTTATGCAACCACAGATAATGAAATTGGATTAGACAAAAGATATTTTATAAAAGGCAGATTTTTTCCTCTCTATGATTAAACTCACAACACCATCCTCATATTGTTCAGACTGTCGTCATCTTAATCAGCGCTTCAGAAAAAAAACATGATTTGTTTTGTGTTGGATCAGCTGCGTGAGTCAGTTGTGTAACATTTGGTCCTGATCCTTCTTTTTGGACCATAAACAGCTTGTTTATCGTGCTGTCTCTGCAGAGAGGCTCCATCAACTCAGTCTGACTCATTCTTTTTAGCTGAACTCTCTCACACCATTTAACAGATTTCTTGAATGCATGCATCTTTTGTGCCATCTGTTGAAAGCACCACGTTTTTAAAACCAGTAAAATACCATTAAAGTTTCATTTAAGGTTCTAAATTATTGACTAAAATCCTGTCAGCGACTCCAGGCGGAGTTCTTTATAGAATCTAAAAAAATCTGTGCTGCGATTATTTATTTATTTATTTATTTCTGTTTCTCTTGCAGACGAGGCATCAAAATGGGGACACACACTTCCTGACCCTAGAAGAGATTCTGGATGAGACCAAACTTCTTGACATCAGTATGAAACAGAAACAGTGGCTCATGACTGAGGTGTGCCCCGTCATTTTCACTGCCAAACTACACTTTTGATTCATTTCTTATCTTAGGCTCACTCTTTTTGCTTTTGATATTTTAAGGATTTGTTTGCGACACCTGAATATTATACATTTCCTGTTTTGTGTTTTCCAATTACAAATGACCCACCATATTGAAGTTGCAAGGTAGTACAGTTCAGTGAGATGTAGGCAGCTATAGTGCATTGGTTGAAAAATGTGTGGTAGTTAATTTTTTTTCAACTATGATGAATCTATTGGTCCCTTCAATAAAATCTCTGAAATATAATTAAAAAATGTTTTGAAGCACTGTTCTACTCAGCACAAAAAATTAATGATCTAGAGCTGAAAAGGTCTATTTTTTTTACTTTCCCTGTGCGCTATCAATACTATTTTCAATAAAGTCATTAGTTTTTATTAAGCTACTAATCTTCTTCTACACTTTGCTTATCTCAGGCCTTGGTCAGCAACCCAAAAATTGATGTTCGCGACGGGACTTACGGCTTCAAGCCCAAATACAACCTGAAGGATAAGAAAGCCTTACTGAGGCTGCTGGACAAACACGACCAACTGGGTCTGGGTGGGGTGCTGCTGGATGACGTGGAGGAAGGACTCCCCAATGCAGCCAAGGCCATCAAGGTAACGCAAATATGTCATTTATACTAACACATAGATATTAACTATTTCATTTGTGATGACAGAAATGTCCTTATGTGTGCTTTTTTCACAGGCGTTAGGGGATCAGATCATCTTCGTAACAAGACCAGACAAGAAAAAGATCCTGTTCTACAACGACAAGCATTGCCAGTTTGTGGTAGACGAAGGTCAGAATTACTAACTAAACATTCAAACAAACAGCACCTGTTGTCACTCAGCTCTTTCCAAGTTTCTTGATTCAACAGACACATTTAGTTAATTTTGTTCCCTCTGTTTGGTCAAAGTGCCAGAAAATGTGAACTGAAAATGAAAAAGGAAGTATTTTTGGCACAAATTTTGACTGAACGGTAATCGATTCACACCAGATTTTATCAGACTTGTTGTTTCTTACCATGTTTCACTTTGTAATACATTTTTTAAGCACCTCGATTTCAGTCTTTTTTTTTTTATCCAGAACTAAACATTAAAGGGGACATATGCAATATTTCTTTTTAAGTTATTGTTGCACTTTCCTCAGTGCAGCTCTTTAACACTTTTCTGTTGTAGAATTTCAGAAGCTGTGGAGGAGTGTTCCGGTGGACTCCATAGATGAAGAGAAAATTGAAGAGTACTTAAAGAAACAAGGCATCTCCTCCATGCAAGAGACAGGACCAAAGAAAAAGGTCAGTTTCCTTTTCCCTACACACTGTTCATCTTTATCTGTTTTAAATCTGTTTCTCTGATTTGTGCAGATGCCAGTTCAAAAGCGAAAGAAGCAGGCTGGGCAGAGGAAGAAACAATTTAAGACCCACAACATCCATTTGGCAGGAGTACTAGAAGACTATTCAGATGGTGTGCCTGGAAAGAAGTGAAACAAACTGGCTCGAGTCTGAAACTGTGAGATGGGAGTCACTGGTCACATAAGAACAGACTTAGTGTGGCTGTTGTGTCTAAAGAATCTAGCTTTTTACCTTTACATTCCCTCCAGTGATCTGTCATTAAACAGAGCCAGTAGTAACTGTGTTGTGGAATCCATTTCACATTTATTGATCTGTAAAAACCTAAGTGCTCTGGAGGACGAGGATAAGGACTAATGTTTACCGACACAGAAGACTCCGGTAAACCACAACTGTTACACCGACGAACCATAACTGTTAAAATGAAACAAAGTGTCAACATGTCTTTCATGATTTTATTTATATAATAGCAAAAAGATGTTTGAAAGGTTTAATTTGAGCGCCAAGAATCCTGGTTTTATTTATTTATTTTTTTCCTAAACCAAATTTGCGGTGAACTGTACAAACATCACCTAGCACGAAACATCTTCATCTTTACTTGTTGTGGAATTGCAGAAGAGTTAGTGCTTTTACTTTGCAGCACCATAATATAATGGTTTAGAATACAAGGCTTTTTGAACTTATTTTAATAAATTACATGGGTACACAATTCTGCCTCAGTTGTCTTAGTCCGTACGTTAACTTGACCTTACTTTTCATTTCTGTAGAAAATATTCAAAGACAGCAATGTGCAAAAAGAAATGCTTCATCTATTATAAGTTAAAAAATATCAGAAGAGGAGTGGTTATTGATAAGCTAAATATATATAAATATGTACATTTATGCTGTACTGCAACAATATTTGAACTTAATTTTGCTGGCTTGCTTTGACAGTTTTCTTCAGGTGGTGGTAGTTTGGCAAAATCTTCATCAGAAAGTCAAGCTGGAGAGTCTGGGGCTGAAATGACAACAAAACAAATGTCAGGTTGAAATGTTCTCCATCCATATTTTCAGTTACAGGCTGAGTCATTTCTACCTTCTCCTCTCTGTCAACGCTCTCTGGTTTCATTTAAAAGAGTCGATCATCAGATATTGTCCAAGATTAACCTTCAGGGTGGATATAGCTCGCTAGCAGCCTCGCACCAAGAACCTATCCACGTCATCATTTACCCAGAATGCTTTGTGTGTAAATAAAATGGCCACGTCCATGTTAAAATGTTTTTTAAAATTTATAGAAACTAAACAACCTACAGTATTTTTACAGTCTTTATTTTACAGTTCAATTATTTAAATAAAGTCTAATGTTACAACTAATCGGGGATCCCTTTAAGGTATGCAAGGCCTTTATTTAGAAAAAAAAGTATTTACCATTTACATCCTGTCTTTTTTTTTAAATGGTAAGTTTACACAAAAACTACAAATAGTCTTTTTGCTAAAATTGGTAAAATAAATTATAGTAAACAAAAACATTTCAAATCATGTTTTTATTTTGGAGGACTTGTCCACTGTGGAACTACGTTTGTAAGCTAGGATCATATGTTAAAGGCACATTTATTTAGTTAAGAGTTAACCTAATGTGCATGGTTTTGATATGTGGAAGAAAACTGGAGTAACTGGTGAAAACCCATGCATCCACAGGGAGAATGTAAAATCCACACAAAAAGCTGGAAGACAAACCTGCATCATGCTGTGAGACAACTGCACCGTAGCGATACAACCTTAAAATTAAAGGTTTATACTAACCCTGAGATATCTATCTACATCCCAAACATTCCCCAAGACATGTACCTGTGGTCTCTCTGTCTGAACCCTCCTCATACATCCAGAGCCGTAGATGACTGTGTTCTCAGGTATGACCTCACAGGTGTTCACCTGACAGAAAGCTCCGATGATACACCCACTGGTCAGGATCACATTCCTGCCAACGTCAGCTAGACAGGGAAAGTTAATAATCAGCGACTTGTTCTGTATAACTATATCTACTGGCATGTGTTAGTGCTCACCTTTAGATTCAATCACATTGTTGTCACCAATTTTAAGAGCTTGTGATACTGGGTGTTGTCAGTTAAGGCTACATAAGATTCTGATTATAGAAACAGTCTTATACATATGGACTAAGCTAGTCAAAAGGATACCACAGCCAACCTCAAACACGTTGTTTATACCAATGGTCATGGTCTTTGGTTCCACCTCAGAATCTGGAGTGATGTTCTCTGGGTAGCTGCATCAGAACATAAACAAACAAAAGTAAACTTTACTAATCTAAGTAAAGCTGCGCTGCACAGCAAGAAATACAAGGAATTAATCCTCAGACCTGTTAATGATCAGGGCCTGCTCTTCTATCAGGTTGCCTTCTCCGATCACAATGGGTCCTGCGTCTGCAATGATCCGAGCTTTGGGATGGACAACTGTTCTGGGGCCTGAATAAAATAGGAATAACAGTGAATACAGATGTATCATTATCAAACAGTCAGAAAAAAATAATTTTACATATTTTAAAAACATCTTACCAATGGTTACATCTCCTCTTATTTCGCTTTCAACACAAACAACAGCTCCAGCGGCTATTTTAACACTAAAAAGAGGGAGAAACAGATAAAAAAAAATATGTTTACTAACCATGCTACTAGCTCAAGCAGCTAACATGTTACTCTTAAATAAACGCTCTAAATAGCTTATAGCAACTCATTTTTTGGTTGTCTTCGTGCATCTTACAATTGATTACGCGTTAACACATCAAATTGTATTTATTTTACCTTTTCTGCGCATTTAATTTGTCTGCCATGGCGAGAGCTTTTACTATTTACTGGGAGGTGCCGTGTTTGAGTCACTCGGTACTCGATTAAAAAAGTCTAGTTGTTGTCACTTGTGCGCATGCGCCAGTCAAACCGCGTTGACCGAGCCACCTGTGGGGGGCAGTATTACACTTTGAGGTGTACACGCGCCCGTAAATTAAGGAAGAAGAAAAAATTAGTTTTTTTTTTATTATTATTGTTATGGCAAAAAAGAAAGAAACAGCAGCACGTAGATATCCAGTCATCAGAGTGAAGCAGGAAAAGCAACAACGTATGGCTCATTCAGAGAGGAACAGCATTTATTTCGTTGCAGCTATTGTTGCTTTAGTCGTAGCTGTTTGCGTGGTGCCACTGGCAGCTGAAGTTTCACCGCGTAAGTAAAGAAAAAGGTGGCTATAACACTTTGAAGGTGGGATGCAACAACGTGCTGTGTGGTTGGCTATAGGTAGCTTCAAGACCGCTAAAACAATATGTACTACACTTCTTTAGCATGTGTGTAAAAAGGAATAAACCTTCGTTACTCTATAAAATGTTTTGGCCAAGCTGTGATCTCGTAGCTAACTATAAACTGGCGTATGATCCGGAAGGGGCAGTCGTGTGAGCGCCAGTCGTTTGAACTTCCCTCTGGGGTGTTTATTTGTGGATTATCTCAGCATGTGACCACCAAGCTCTGCGGTCATACCCACACTAGAGCCCTGTCACATGCTTACTTCCTCCGGATGGCATCATTAACTGGACTTTTTTAGCTAAAGGTGTGGTATGAAAAGCTTTGTTTTTACCTTTGTTAATTTAAGCTTTGAAACAAACGCGTCATGTGATCTTGAATTTGTCACCTTTGAAAGCCGATGTGCTGTGTGCGCTAATAAAAAAGGATCACAGTAAACAGTTTAATGGGTGTTTTTTTTTTGATGGCTTGCATCAGGTAATCATAGCTGAACCGAGAGAAAGAGAGAATTTATTTTGATCAGCTCATTGTTTCCTTTATCCCAGCTGACTTCAGTCATCCTAAGCGCACGAATCTGAAGATGGATGAAGCATTTCTGAGTATCAACAATGAACTGGACACTGATGTGCTGGTGTCCTGGAAGTCAGAGCTCTGCTACAAGGTAACACAGTTCACCCATCTGCAAGTGGTGTTAAATAAAGTTCTGATCTGGACCTTTATTTTTTTATTTTTTTCTCTGTTAGTGTTTGTACCAGAAGCTCGGTGTGGTACCAATGAGGACCGGCCCAGGCCAGTCCTCTTCAGCCAACTTTACTGTTGGCACACAGCATGAAATGACGCTGCAGATGAACAGTACATCTGCCGTGGAACTCTGCCAGTAGGTGTATGCACATAATGTTTTTTTTTTTTTATTTTTTATTTTAATTTTTTTACTTCCATCATTTGAGGTGTTTATAAGAAACTAAGGCAGAGTACAAAATGTCTAACTTCTACAGCTCAACGATCAATGTTTGTGTGGTTCTATTTGTCTGTATTTTACCACAAAATGCATTTAATTAACTTTTATTTTAAATTAATCACTGAATGTACATGAACTAAATAAGTTGTTCAAGTCATCTCCTTCCAAGATGGCTGCTACTTTGAAGTAACCTTAGAAAACACAAAAATGTCTGTACCTCAGTGGGTTTCACAGCTATAGACAGATATAATGGTATAATAATGATAAAGACAGGAAGTTTAGTAACTGAGACTCATGTCAAACATACACTCTTGAGCATCCAAGCTCTGATTTAAAAAAAATCTGTAATTAACTATTGGAGTCAGCTGTGTCTTGTTAGCAAAATATCTCATTAACCACTAAATAGTATTTAATAAAACTTACAGGAAGTAATTATCGGGTGTACATCTTCAACTCTTTAACTGTTGAAGTCAAATTATGGAATATGTTTGTCATCGTTAGCTGATTTTACTGAACATAAACACGCCTCTACCTCAGCCAAAATTACAAACGTTTAGCTAAAATTTAATGTTTTCGTAACTGAGAGTTATTCCCAGCACATACTTTAAGCACTACACACCATAGAACAATTTTTGTTAAACTTTGGCATTAAACTTTTCAATCTGTTAGCAAAATATCTCACAAACCGCCAAATGGATTTGAATGAATTTTACAAAGATTAAACATTGGGTGTACATCTACAACTGATTAACGTTTGGAGTAACACCTCTTCAAGATGGCAAATCAACAATAGCCAACCTTAAACCGTCTATAAATGTTGAAATTTTACAAATATTGAGCTTAAATTTGATGAGGTCGATGAGTTTTCAGCAGTGCTTAACACATCTCACAACATCACCTGAGATCACGCATAATGCCATTTAAAAAGTCTGACCAAAATGGCTTTAACACTGTCTATTCTCAATAAGACAATTTTCTTTCACTGTGGATGTTGGGCAAAAAACAAACAAAGCATTAAAAAATATACTTTAGGTTAGTATTAATTTATTAAGTGGGTATGTTATTTATTTATTTTTACAAAAAGACAGTAAAATGCCAACCTGTATAAAACTACTTAAACATCATACCCGGCCTGGCTCATGTTTTGACTGAGTTTATGTTTTTTTCCCAGGGTTCAGTTCCATTTCGGGGAGCATGGAAACTACTCTCTGTGGATTAATAACATGACCAACTCCTCACAGGCCAACTGCTCTTTAGTGACACGTGCAGACCCTGTAAACAGCTACATACGTGAGTGTGTCACACTTATTCCCGTGATCGGGTGTCAACTGTCGTATTTGTTTTTATCAGCTTCGTTAAAATAATGTACTCTTTCCCTCGCTATACAGCAATCCTTGTGTCCTTTTGTATTTTTGTTGGGCTGGCCATCGTGTTTGTTTTAGGGACGAAATTATTAAGGTGAGTTTATTTCTTTGGTCCTTGGTTCTTAGTTTAATCTGGCAATCAAACCAAATCCAAAAATACATTCTGTTCCAGCCATGTTTGCTATCAGTTTTGAAACATTTTCCAGCATATGTTTCAGCACTGCAAAGAAAGTACTCTGAGTGAGCGAGTTGTAAACTTCTTTTTTATACCTTAAGTGTCTCTAAATGGTTTAATATTTCTTGACCAGACTTGGTGTCGTAAGGCGTCTCATCCTCAAAGTCAGTGGATCCATGGAAACTGAAAGACTCATCAATTCTGTAAGTGGTTTTGTGCAGGAAACTTTTGGAACTACGTAAAACGTCGGATAATCAGGTGGGAATTTTGAGATCGTAGATTCAGAATAGCGGAAAAATGGAGACAGCATGGACAGCAGGCGCAATTTGTGGCAGTGGCAGCTTCCATGGGACTGCCAGAGGCTGCCACCGGAAGTGCCTTCCACTCGGTGCCAGAGGCTGCTAGACCATCTTCCACAGCGGCTGCTGATGTTTTGGGGAAAGACATTTACCGATTTTCGGCAAAATGAGTCGTCATACTTATTAGATATTGCCTATTATTCGAAAATGAGTTATATCTTTAAAATAAACTTTTCTGGAATTCATCAATGTACAAACAAATGAATAGACAAAGAGAAAAGATGGATAGTCAGACAAATATGAACACTATGAATACTTTAAACATTTTACCATTAATAATTCAATAGTAAGTTTACCATTTGAGGTTTACATATATGATTTGTATTAATTTATAGTAAAAAAAAATTATAAACTTTTGCTTTTATCAGAATAAACTTAATCTATAAGTGTATTTTAATCTTCCAGGAGCTGGGTTACCCTCGGATAGAGACACCGATCACCGACAACATCCTCCTTCCTCCGCCCGGCACCAACAAGAGGCTTCGGTCTCTGGACACCTTCAGAGGGTAAGAGCCACTTCTTTCTGTCTGTGCTGCTCAGCCCACTCACTAATAAGTTATTTACTGTTTGCTTCATGTGACTTTTACAATAATGGGACAGTTTGTGAGACTGGAACTGTCACAAATGAATGCACTTTTGCAAAAATTCTAAAGATAAATGCACTGTTTTTACCATAATGTGCATCATGTAGCTTTAATAGTTGCATCACTTTAAACAAATATTATTTTCTCCTTTTAGTATATCCTTGGTTATTATGGTGTTTGTGAACTATGGAGGAGGGCGATACTGGTTCTTCAGACATTCCAGCTGGAATGGTGAGCCCTACTCTTTTTCTATTTTCAGTTTCTTTTACTTATTCATTCTTCACAGATGTTTAAAATCAGGCTTGACGTTAGTAATTTGTAGGTTGATTCATTTTTATTTTAAATTTGTTGTGTGTCATCCTACAGGTCTTACAGTCGCAGATCTTGTCTTTCCTTGGTAAAATCAGTTTAAATTTTCTTGTAACATGTTATGTTAATTTTTGTTACTAATGTATGGTCGTAGCATTTGTCAGAGCTTGCCATGGTTTGAAATAAAACAGAGCTTTTAGGAATCTGTTGATAAGTTAAAAAAAAGCTTGTTTTAATTTGTTTCTCTCCGCCAGGTTTGTGTTTATAATGGGCACATCTATCGCGCTGTCGATCAGCTCGTCGCTGCGTACGGGCTCGAGTCGTTTCTTTTTGCTCAAGAAAGTCATGCGGAGAAGCGTACAGCTCTTCGTCATCGGCATCTTCATCATTAACCCTAACTACTGCCAGGGACCACGTAAGGACAAACTCACCCTGTTATTGTTCTCTGTGGATTCCTTTTAGATGAAGAAGATTACTTTCTATCTTTTGAGCATGTGCTCTCTTGTCTGGCTGTTGTTATTTCCTGGCGTGTCTCTACCTCACACTTCACGCTCTTTGACTCCACAGTATCTTGGGACAACTTGCGGATCCCCGGTGTGTTGCAGCGTCTCGCCTGGTCCTACTTGGTCGTAGCCAGTCTGGACCTGATGGTGGCGAAAGGACATCTCGACATCCTCACAACAGTCAGTCAAAAGCTCATTTTTACCAACAATTGATTTATTTTTCTTTTTACGAACCGCCATCCTTTTTAAAAGACTGTTGTTGAATTACAGTGTTCTAAGTGTAACAGAAAAATCTGCTTTCTAGGATGCCTGGTGGTCTCCTGCACTTGACATCTTGCTTTACTGGAAAGCCTGGGTGTGTGTGCTCCTTCTGGAAACCCTGTGGCTCTGCCTTACTTTTCTTCTTCCTGTACCAGATTGTCCCAGGTGAGTTATTGTTCAGACAAATTCAACTTTGTTCTCAGCTTTGACTAATATTTATTTTTACAGTACCATATTTTAGCTTAATATCTGTCAATTTGGTTGAGTTATATACTTTTATGGTTCGTAAGGTTGACTAGATGTGGTAGCCGTCTTGAATCGGCTTGACTCCAAAGAGTTGTAAATGTTAGTTCAATGATTTTGTTGTGACAGTGTCTTTAAAATCCATTTAACGATTTACAAAATATTTTGCTGACAGTGCAAACCAAAAAAAGACAGGCAAACATGTTGCTTTACCATCGCTTGGTGTCCAGCTGAATCCCATTTTGATTTGACAAACTTCTGCCTAAATCTTTTATTGTGTTGTAGCCTAAATCTTCATCATGACCCCATCTGTCCTAACACTGGCTTCATGTGTCGTTTGATTCCAGCGGGTATCTGGGTCCAGGTGGGATTGGAGACACGGGCTTCTTTGCTAACTGCACTGGTGGAGCTGCAGGTTTCATTGACCGTTGGCTGCTTAGCGAAAAGCACATTTATCAAACTCCCTCATCACGGGTTTGTGGAGTGTTTTCCTTATCGGTTTCCTGTTTGGCTCGCCCAGCCACTCTTTTGTTCCTGTTATTTATAATGGCTGTCACTGTAACATTCAGGTGATTTATGCGACTAACATGCCGTACGATCCAGAAGGTGTTCTGGGTAGCATCAACTCTGTCCTCATGACTTTTCTTGGATTACAGGTTTGTAATGTTTTGTTATTATTGTTAACAGGCTTTATAATGAATTTAACCACCAGACAACTTGGTTGTTTTTAACTTGTCTGATCCAACTGTCCTCAGGCTGGAAAGATATTTTTACACTACAGAGATTTTCCTCGAAGTATCATTTCAAGGTTTCTCATATGGGGTTTCTTTCTGGTAAGTTGCTTTGCTTTTTATTCAAAATTGAAAGGCTTCTGTAGGATGTGAACTAGGAATGCACAATATAAACAATATATGTTAGAAACAATATAAATTTGTCCTATGATAGAGATCTGTAGTCTACCGGCCAACTGCGGTAATTCTTGTTGATGATGTAACTGGCTAGAGTCAAAACAGAGAAAACGGGAAGCATCATGGCTGAGAGCGCAAAGGAAGAGCAAAAAGTTGCAAATCGTAAATTAACGTAATATCTGGACCTGGTTCCGGTCTAAGCTGGAAAGCGCTGTGGGAAATGGTGACAGTCTTTCAAAACAAAAAAAACAAACCCTGTCAAACCATAAATGGGATCATTGTCACCCCGCCGGAGCGCTCACAGTGTAAAACACATGTGGAGTGCAGGAAAAGTAATCTGCAAAATATGTAGAAAGGAGTAAATGCAAGCAATGTGGTTTACCACCTTAAAATGAAGCAGGTGCTTGAATAGCAGTAGCTGACTACAAGTTCCAAACAACATCCAATGGAAGCAGACATCCATTACATTAATGTTATTGTGTATATACTATATATAACCAGGTAGGTCTACCTTAAAATTAGATATTTAAGGAAGAACTTAAAACTCTCATTTTAGGATTTTTTTGAAGTAGAGGTTTGTAGGAAGACCTTAAAATTTCCCTTAAAAAATTGGAAGGTTTAAAACATTTTTAACACATACATATTCATACATTCCAATCAATTAGAATGTGATTTATTTATTTTTCTATAAGTTTTATATCATGATAGATATCGTTACCGCCACCCATTATATCGTGGTATGAATTTTTTTTGCCATATCTCACATTCCTAATGTGAACTGTACTTGACAGTGACAGAATCACAAAATGTGCTTCTCACATCAGCAAAGAGTCCTGGTAGATCAGGAAACCCGTAGGCCAAGCATAATTATTCAAAACGTTTTTTTTTTTTTTTTACATTTCACTGAGAAAATAAGATCCATGAGAAAGTGATGTTATTTGATAAACATTTAAAGGAATAGTTTGGATGTTTTTTAAGCAACATGTCCTAAAAATAAATCAAAACATCTCGGAGAGGGACATTCATTATACATTATCCTTGTACAAAGGTTTACCTGCCAGATTGTTGAATATAGCTTTTTTTAAATATTAACTTTTTTAGAGCATAAATTGAATGAAAAGTTAAATGTGTTAGCCTACATATGTTTTCCTTTACTGATCTAATACGGTCTCTTGTGTCGAACAGGGAGTCCTATCAGCAGTTTTGACCAAATGTTCCAGAGACGAGGGTTTCATCCCTGTGAACAAGAACTTGTGGTAATACTTCATTTTCTTTGATGCATCTGTGTGTTGTGTTCGTTTATCTATTAGTAAAATACTTCATGAACGTCTGAACAAATTTTATTTAAACTTTTCTCAAATAATCATTGGTTGTGCATCTACAACTGATTAACTTTTGGAGTCAATCTAATTGTCAAAGTGCATTGTAAAGGCATTGATGTGAAATAAATA